TGCTCCATCCAGATAACCAATTATTTGTTTTCAAAGCGTGTTAGAAACTCTGTCTCACTGAATGGGGCTTTTAACGCGTTGAGTATGAGGTTGCTGGATCAAAGACAAAGGCAGCGACCTCATACCACTCCCACTGTACCCTATCAGATTAGCCGGAGGTCTTTGTGGACGCACACAGACCACCTGCTGCGTGACAGAATGCACTTACGCCACACTTTCACACTGCTCTCATCAAGAAAAGCAAACCTCCTCCTGCATCACGGGAAGGAAACGCACAAAAAAGGGAAAACAAGGGCAGACCTCAATCTTCTGCCCGCCGGATAGCAATCAGGGCCTGGCGACCTGCTGGCATCCCTCTGCAGAACTGAGATCAGTATCTGGCATCATGCTGGTTGTCCAGTAGCCGGCAGCCTGGTGGCTGTCACACCCAGCGCCCAGAAAGAGACATCCTCTTAAGGCTGGGACAAAGGTGCTCGGTCCTCAGGGATTACTCATTAGCATGCTGGTCGGTGTGTTTAACACTGGCCTGAATGGAAAGGGCAAGAGCCGGCACCCTGGTCTATTCTTAAGCAGGGAAGTGTTACTGTTTCAGCTGCTGATACCGCTTTGACTTTAGCGCGCACGCGTACGTGCACATCAGAGGAATTCTCGTTTCTGGAACGTTTACTGAGATAATTACAGCCAACGTGGGACAATGTAACGAGTCATCGATCAAAACGTTTCTTTCCGTCTTTAAGTTGTTATCAGACATCCACTGATTCAATTGACACAGCTACACAATGAAGGTGAAAGCAGGTGGTTGCTGAAATTAGTTATGATGTATTAGTATTATGAGTGTTTTAGGGCGACCGTGGTCTTTCATTCGCTCTTGCTGCGTTAAGACGCCTTTATGGAAATGTGTATTTGTGAATCTCTGCGATTGTCCTGAACGATTGTGTCTGTGTGTGTCCGCGATTGTGTGAAATGCTGGTTTTCTCTGTGCTGCGTGTGTGTGTGTGTGATTATGTGCTCAGGCTTGCTGGCTGCCCCCCGCCACCTCAACCCCGCCCGGCCCCCGGTCCCTTCACCGACCCCTCCTTCCCTCGGAGGCCTGCTCTTCATCTGATAAGGGTCGCGCCGGCCAAACCCTCGGCAAAGCCCCTCAGAGCTTCTCCATGCTAACAATACGCCCCTCCTTCCCCTCCACGCTCACACCATTTACATGTGAAAACACGGGGTCTTATCTGCAGTCCACTGGAGCTATGGCACCCCGGCCGAGAGACAGAGAGAGAGGGAGAGGAAGAGAAAATGGTCGTTTATGTGTGAGCACAAGTGTATGTGGCTGCATTTATATTTATAACCCTTCATGGATGGACTGTTATTATCTGAAAAATACATGAGCATATTAGGCCGTTAAGCAACCTCAAGGTTGTTATTCAGCAGTCAGCACCAGCTCAAGTGTTATTGACAGTGGAAAATAATCCAGTTATATTTTCAAAAGCTCTCAGTTAGTAATGACAAATGAAATGAAAAGGACTAATAGTCATCATGATGCCGGTAACAATAGTCCCACATAAACACCAACATCACCACTTTTTACATGTCGTTTTTTTAAATTTTTTATCCGAAGCGACTCACAATAAGTGCACTTCAACCATAAGGATACAAACCCAGAAGTGCAATCAAATATGCTGATTTACAACTTGCTATAGATAAGAGCCATTAAAAGTACAATTTAAGTGCTACGATTTCCTTACTCACTTCTTCCTTCTTTCTTCACTCCTTTTCCTTCTCGTCTTTTTTGCTCCCTACTTCATCATTGGCCACTATACTTCAGGCTCGGTCTCATCATCTGTTTGGATCATAACTCGACGGTCCAGCGACAAAATATTTTACAGCATACGTAAAAAACAAAACAATCCTTTATGGCGATTTACCAGCTGCCCGCCGTAAATCGAAGAGGGCAGACGGCAAAATAGAAGTGTGCAAGCTTTTAATTAAAGTCTGTGTTGTTAAGGACTCGGGCTGAGCAAACAGGGGCCTCCGGCATCGGAGTTTGAGATGAGAAAAGGGAGAGTAGGGATGATGACAGAAACGCTCCCAACACTAAAAGAGAGGACAAAGGGAGGGGAGGGGGGGCATGAAGAGGTGGCAGGTTTCGGGTTGCATTACAATGAAAGTAGGGGGGTGACAGGTGAGATAGTATTCATAATATTCATGTATTCAGTGAACTAGTTGTCATGAGAGATGTGGATAGTTGCCATGAATCTAGAATGTATGCAAATTGTGCACTTTGTTCAAACCTTCATCTTTTTTTTTACCATAAAAACTGTAACAAAACCTAAATCTGACTCTTTAGATTTCACTGAAGTGCACACAAATTATTCCGTTTTGAAAAATGAACATTCAGGTCAAGATTTAGTCCATTATGGTGCCATGGTGACCTCTCCTGGTGTAAATATAGAGATGCAGGACTTTTTCTTTTTTCATCTGCATGATGGATACCTGATGGGACTCAAGCAAGAGCTTATTTTTGACTCCTAATTCAAACTGTTTTTGGGAAGTGGAAAACGCATTTAGTGCATTTGAAGGCCTCACAGTGTCAAATACTTTTAAACTGTTAAGAAGCATTTGGATGGCCATAATATAAGCCAGCAATGCAGCCTTAGACCTCTTTAAGCAAACTACTATTTAAATAAATCATTATTAGTTTCATCTCTGCACACTTGAGCTCCCTGTTAGTTTGCTATGGATATTTTTTGGAGCAAACTCATCTGTTTCAACTCACAACATATTGTAGAAATGTCTCTTTCCGTCTCAGTATATGAGCTGAAGTTCCTGTATGAAGTTGTAACTGTGCCAAATTATCATATTCAACTCAACTATAGCAACTAAAATATTTTTTGAAAGATAATCTATTGTGCAGATTTTCTCTCTAAACAAATTATTCCTATAAAAGAATTGAGATCAAAACAGATCAAAACAGGAGTGTTATACCATGAAATGAAATAGACCGCTAACCTGTAAGAAAAATGGTTACAATAAAACACGACTATAGACTTCAACTTAACTGTCCATCAGGACTTTTGAACACTCACACACTTGAAACTCAACGAGATAAACCCTCATCACAAAGGATCAGACATTTTCTCATTGCTGGCAAAAACTTAGAACTTCAACAGTTCCTAATTGTAGAGGGCTTGAGGTTGTGGTTCATGACCAAAGCGTTATATTTTAAGGTCCAGCAGCAAGAATATAGAAGTCACAGATGTAATGAAACCTGAGCTGTGTAGCCAGATCAGATAGCTGAGAGGGAAAATAGCAAGTTCGAAACAACCGAGGGTTGTAGATTCAACCCTGATATGACGCGGTGATCTTTGAGGTCCCACAGCAGACTGAGTGTGTAATCATTGTGTGGTTTTCAAAGTCTGATACCCACCGTCCAGTGCTGTAGTGGTCAAATTAGAGGTGGGTAAACTCTGAATTTTGTGATCATACAGACCTCGACGCGATGCGAAGCAACGCAACACAAAGCGTCGCGACTCTGTAAGGCTGTCCTGGCTATATTGCATTATGTTATCAGTAAAAGTCATATACAATCAATGATAATGAATAAATGTGTTAGTAGTTTGTAGTTTATTAAATTTAAGAAAACAGTAAAGAAAAGTATGTCAACACAACTCATACGGAGTCTCCTTTTTACAGTTTCCTTGTCCTCCACGTCAGGTCCTGCCTTGCACAGAGGAGCCATGAACCCCAGAACTCGTGTTCTGGGGTTCATGGCTCCTCTGTGCTTCTCCTCTCTCTATTGGACCTGGTGTTTCTCCTCTCCCTGTGCTCTCTGCATCATTGCCTGTCCTCTCACTGCCTGAAAAAATATGTTGAATTTAAGAGTTAACCAGTTAAGCAGCCTGTCAATTACACTGACAACATAAATGGAACACTCATGTACTACCTATGCCATCATAAATAGCCTATACAGCATGTTTTTTTCACATTGAGAACTGACTTGTTTTCTAATCTATGCGTCACCAGGCGTTTTTCTTGTCCTTTTACCGTGCACGACCAGCGAACACAGAGCGCGCGACTACTACCCCCCCCCCCCCCCCCCCCCCCCCCCTCTGTTGGTCGTTCCGCCCGCAACGACTACTAAACCCCCCCCCGTCGGACCTTCTCGACCGGTCCGCGAAATACTGTCTGACATGAAATGAAACCGGTCCGTGAGGTAAGAAAGGTTGGGGACCACTGGGCTGATCCACAACGTGTATGTGTTTACACACCTCCTGGATCCTGATTGCTGTCGCTGCTGCAGACGCAAGGCGCAGATGAACATGATTCAGACTACGGCGTTTATATGTTCAACAATAGGAAACGTAGTCTTAGCTGTTTTAAAATTACACCAAGTTTATTTCGGATTATTCCAACGGAAGAATACAAGGCGCAGGGAACTTTGAGGTGCGTAAACGCCACTTAGAGGTGCGTAAACGCTATTTCCAAAATTCTAGAGGTGCGTAAACGGCGTTTACGTGCGTTTACCCTCCACTACAGCCCTGACAAGTGCAGATGTGCAGAGAGGCCGTGGCGCAGTGATTAGTTTGTTGGCAATGTCATATGTCATTAGAGTACTCTGATTACTATTTTTAGACTGTCCAGTCGTTTGCAAACTCGCTTCAGCGCTGTTGTGCATGCAGTGTGAGTGTGAGGCTCGCCTGCCGGTGGCACAGACTGGCGTTAAAGCTTTAGACTGTGCTATAAACATCTAGTTGTCGGCAGAATGTAATACTAGCTGTGCAGGGAGACTAATTCACACAAGACACAAATCAGCATTTTATATTACTTCAATATACAGAAAATTAGGGATAAAAAGATCATGATGGGCGAACAAATGCGAAAAAAAGCTGACCGCATGATATCAATTCAGAAAGAAGGATTTTTTCTTCAACGTCCTCTAAAACAAAACCAAGATATGAACAACAGAACAGACAGAACAACATAAATGTTGTCCTGAGAAATGCTTCCAGTACTATATCAGATAACATGCATTTTAATTTAATAAAGATACAGGCAGTTGGTGGGATGCATGATGGTTCCTTTGGAGGGTTCCATGTGAATGTTAATAATGATGATTAGCTTTTGGTTTATTATTTACATCTGTCTCTGAAGCAACAGAAATATTCGAAACAAGGGGACATTACACGTGTCTCACTGTAAAGACTTTTTTTTAAAATTTCTATACTTCTCTCACCTTCTGTTTACAGTGTTTGAAGATGACATCAGATTTATAAACACAGATCCTTCCGATATGCTTGGATGGTCATTGTATAATACCGTCATCAGACAAGATGATATACCAATACTTTTTGAGATAAAAAAACTTATTAAAGAGACAATATTCTTAAAATGAATGTTGTCATGTGAGCTTACCAGGCTACTGTCTTTAAATGTTCAAAATCTGTGCCCAAAAATAAATCTTTTTACATACAAAAGTTTTTACATATCTTTTTGTGTCTCCATAAAACATAATTGGTCTTCAAACTGAAAAAGACACGTGAATCTCTGCTCAGAGGAATGATGTAACTTACTATATATATATACAGATATGTATATATACACATAGATATACACATCATTTCTACATTATTTCAACATTAATGACATACAGAATTGCTGAATTTGTAGGTTTTTTTCTAAAAAAGACTTCCACTTCTCATCTAGAAATATTTCTCATATCTTTCAAAATAACTTTGAAAAAACTCTAAGTAACTATGTGTTTACTACAAGTCCACTGTAGACATATTATCGGGTCGCTGTTCACATCAACACTGGAAAAAAAGATTCTAACTGTTGAGAAATGAGAAATCAAAACACACTACTGCATTCAATTGCTTTATATTTACTCCGAACATGGAATCAACTTTTATAAGAACAAGGCTTCAACATGTCGCTAAATGATTGAAAATCATCAAATATAGCCCGTATTTCTCACAGTACATACATAAAAATGACAGTACATCATTTTTATACCTAATTATGAACGCAACCAACATCCCACGATGGAAAACACCATAGATGTCGAACTAATGTTGATGCATGTGCAGCCGAGCCCCCACTAGGGGGAGCCAACGCAGAAGATCAGTCCAGCACAGGGGTCACCAACCTTTTTGAACCTGAGGGCTACTTCATGGATACTGAGTCATACTAAGGGCACCCATTTTGATACACTCTCATGAAATAACAAAGTTGCTCTGTTTGCCTTTAGTTATATATTATTAATGATTAATGATACTCATCTATGTGAAGACACTAATCATTTTACAAAATAATCTTTTACATTTCATGAATACTCTATTGAACACCATTTTCCGAATTTAAATCCACAACATTTCATGTGAAAAATCTTTTTATTTCACTTGCTAGTGACAAACCCTTTTAACAAATCATTACTTATGTATTGCACCTTGTTTGAAAAAGTTATCAATTATGTAATGTTTAAGAAAAATCAACTTACATATTTTCAAATACATCTAATCACATGTTGAACTAATGACAAAGTCTGCTGAATTTTTACAAAATGATATCTGTTACATTTCACTAACCCTATTAAATTGAAGACAGTATATCCTATTTTGATTCAGCTTTGCAACTGACATCACATGGTATCTGTTTCTTTGTTAGTGGGAAGACTGGCATTGCATGCTGTTCACCAGTGTATTGTAGTCTGGTGTGTAACTTGACACTGCAACTCTGAGTGAGTCTTGCAGGTGTGAGGCGGGTTCTGTGTTTGTTCTTGATGACGTTCATGTCAGAAAATGCTGATTCACAGAGATAGGTTGAACCAAACAGGCCGGCAACCTTCATAGCTGCTGTGCTTACACCACTGTACTTTTCTGTGTCAACAAGGCTCCAAAAGTTTGGTGCAGCCTGGTGGGCTTTGAGGTGCAGGTCATTTTGCAATGTTACAATTTCAATCTCCACCTGTGCAGCATCCAAGTTGAACGTTGCACTTAGTTGCTCAGCAATGTCAGTTATGTCCTTGTTCATGAAAGGATTGGAGATGAATGAGACACATGGCTCAAGCTGATTAAGGTCACAAAACCTATCCTTGTCCAAGTCTGTTTATGACTTGACAGTACTTTTCTGCAACTTTGTCCATTTCCTCAGATGCAGAAGCATTGTCTTTTAGCACCGATCGCACAGAGGGAAAGTGCAGCATTTTTTTTCTCTGTAAATGCACAGAGAAAATGTTCATCTTGGCTTGAAATGCATTTAAAGCGCTTATCATGTCAACAACAGTCTTACCTATTCCTTGCAGCTCGCAGTTCAAGTAGTTTAGTTTCCCAGTGATGTCCGTTAGTAATGCAAGGTCAAGTGTCCACTCTGTGTCCTCTAGCAGCGAGACGTCTTCCCCTTTGGACTGCATGAACTCCTTGATTTCACCCAAAAGTGACACGAAGCAAAACTCGTCCTCTGCTCAGCCATCGGATTTCTGTGTGTAGCAACAGGTCCCCATATTCTGCTGACATCTCCTCCAATAGCACCTTGAATATCCTGTGCTGTTTTGCTTTGGAGCGAATGCTGTTGATGATTTTCACAACGGGAGTCTTCACGTGCTCAAAGCCGATCACTTTTGCACATAACGCCTGCTGGTGAATGATGCAGTGGTAATGCAGACGTTTTGGGAAGTCTGGGTCACCTTTACAGTGCACGATGAAACCTGCACGGCCGATCATAGCAGGAGCTCCGTCTGTAGTCACCGCTACTAGCTTTTCCAGTGGTACCTTTTTCTGTACGAAAAACTCCTTCACCCCCTTGTAAACGTCAACTCCCCTCATAGTTGTCTTTAAGGGCAGGAGTGCCAGGAGTTCTTCTTTTGTGGGGAAATCTTCAAACACCATCCGGATAAAGACTGACAGCTGCGCTGTACTGCTGTTGTCCACGGACTCGTCGCACTGTACGCTAAACCACCTGCACGTGCCACATCCCGGTCCAGCTGCTCGGCCAGGTTAGTGGACGTAGCTGACACCCGTCGAGTCATCGTCGATGCTCCCAGTTGGATCGGAGAGAGTGGAGATTAAATCGGTTCCATTTTTCTCGTCTTTAAGTACGGTGTTGGCAATAATCATCATTGCTTCTTTGAAAACTTCTCCTTCTAAAAAGGCCTTCTTCTTCTTTATCAGGAGATGTGCAGCTCTAAACGAGGCTTGGGTTGCTTTTTGGGAGTTCTTTGCCGGCTTTGTGAAAAAAGACTGCTGCTTTCCCAAAGCTGCCTTTAGCTCACAGGCTTTTTCTGCCCGCAGCGCGCTTCCCGCGGGGTAGTTAGCTTGGTAGCTTTTGTGTGTAGCGAAGTGTCTCTCCACGTTGTGCCGCTTTGCCGTCGCCACAGTCGCTCCGCAAATGAGACAAACGCAGTTTTCTTTCACACTTGTAAAAAAGAATTCTTCCTCCCATTCACTGTGAAAATTAAAGTTCTCTACCTTTTTTCTGCCATGTTTTTTGGGGTAAGAATGTGCGTTCAGCTCCGCATCATTGCTGTTCCCGCACTCACCTTTGAACTAGAATAGGTCAGAGTTCGACTAAATTATCAAAACTTTCATGTATTATACAAATATTTTTAATTATTGTATTTTAAATATCTTCTCATTTTCATGTACATATAAATGCAAGTGTGATTAAAAGAATAATTTATTTTAAAATGAATTTTTTTTTTTCAGACCGCTCACTAGTTGTGCTATTTTTAGAACAAGCCTGCGGGCACCTCATATGGTCCTTGCGGGCTACCTGGTGCCCGCGGCACTGGGTTGGTGACACCTGATCCAGCAGGATGCGCTGGTGCAGCGAAGGACACTATCAGACAGTTTCTTAGTCCTGGTGGCTTCGTCGGGTCTTTTCTGCAGGCTGTCCTGGCCTCGTGGCCCTGTAGCCTGGTCCGTCAGTCCTTCAGTCTCTTTCTGACAGAGCGACGCTACAGCTGGTCCGACTCCTCCCTGTAGCTGGAGTTTGGCTCCGGGCCCGAGGCTTCAGTTCTGGGTCTGGAGGGGGCTGCGGGTTGCACTCTGGTGTAGCTCAAAGGGTCTTGTGGGCCCTCATATTGAGGGAGCTCGCCCTCTGATGAAAGCTCCGCGTCGGAGATGTATGGAGGAGGAGGGAGATCAAACCAGGGAGGCCGACTAGGGGTAAAAGAACAGAAGAAACAGATAATAATGTGATGTCAGGCTTTGAAACAGCATCACGCTGGAAGATTTGAGATGCACTTAACTATTACTGGGAAGCAAATAGGAGAAAATTTGATTGATTAAATCCTAATATAATTGATGTTTACTCAATTTTGGTTAACTTAAATAATTTAGAATTGCACAAATCTGCTAGTAATCATTCATTTTATACAATTAAATGAATGAAATAACAGTAAATGAGTAACCAGCTGAGTAAAGGGGTTAATTGTTTGAGAAACACGGTGGCAGCTGTTTCAACTCAGGAGATCATTCCTGCCCAGTGCAATAAAACTCCCTGGCTAAATAATGACAATAATAACCCTGTACTGCTGTTATGTTGCTGTTCTTTCCTCTTCCTCTTCTCCTTTTACAAATTATTATTATTGTCTCTTTTGGAAGGTTATTCTTTTGTTTCAGTTTATTTAATTTAATTTAATAATTTAATATTTCTCTTATTATATTGTATATAATGTGTATCTTTTTATTCTATTTTCTTCCCTGTACATGCTGCTGTGATACCAAAATTTCCCTCTTGAGGGATAAATAAAGTATCTATCTATCTATCTATCTATCTATCTATTCTATGTGGATGAACTTCAAGGGAATAATTATTGATTACGTTGAATTAGACACTGCCAGCGACGTTTAACATCCCTACTTCTGCTTTAATGCTTTCATGCTATTTTAATTGCAGCTTACGGTGCAACGCTAGCCTTTGGGATACGGTCACATATTATAAACTTCCATTGAGCTGCTGGAGTGTTCATCGCCCTCACCTGACATCCAGAACAGCTTGTGCGTATAACGGAGGGGAGTCCACGGAGAGTCTGGAGGGATAAAGACTCCCAGAGAGCAGCTGCAGTGTTTGAGGAGTTGAGTTGTACTGGACCCCCCCGCTGGGCGACCCGGGGGAGAGACCGGGACCGCCGGCGTGGCCGTGGCCCCGGTCCAAAATGACCAGATGGGAGAGCAGCAGGGGCTGGTGGTGGTGGTGCGTGCTTCCTCTTACACCTCTGGGCAGCAGGACGCTCCGCTTCCTCTGGTGATGGAGCACCAGCGCCAGCAACGCCACCACCAGGACGAAGATAACGGCACTGCCGATGACGGCGTAGGTGATGCTCGGGTGGTAGCGCATGCGATAGTCCAGTGTCACAAAGTCCTTCCCCGGGGCTTCTGTGGAGGTGTGGGGGTGGGGGTGGGAGAGGGGAGAAGAATGAAGAGCAAATTGATGATGACAGAGGTTGGAAGAAAACGGGAGGACGATTGGCGGCAGGAGAGACAAAGAGACCCGTGGAGGAACTAAAGGACGGGGAGGAAAAACAATTTGAGGAAAGAGGCGGCTGAGGGTGGAGCAGGATGAGTGGTGGAGAAAGGAGTGAGAAGACGGGCATGAATTTAAAGTGGTGCGCATTCAGGTTCATTCTGAAATGTGTTCTGTGGGATTCAATGGAGGCAGCCTCTCTTGGAGATGAGAGTGCTACATAATAAGCATGGGGGAAGGTGGGGGGGGGGCGCACGGGGGGGGGGGGACCCTGGACCGAGAGAGCGAGGCGCGTCCTCACAAGTAGAGACCTCACTCTTTACCACGGAGGAAGTGAATGAAAAGAGGGGCTTAATAATTCTTTGTGAGGACTAAATGTCTCACAGCCAGTTGGGATAAAACAACACGAGCTGTCCCACTTTGACCCATCCAGTAAATCTTACTGTAGCACGAAATGCAGAGCAGTCAACTCGTATAAGTACAATACAGCACCTTAGGATTATTGCTGATGGGATGACGGAATAGCGCTTAAACCTGACTGATATTACAGAGTGGGAATTTAAATCAGCCACTTGGGCGACGCTTGTTCTAATGGCCTTTCTGCTGCTACCGGCAGACTGAAAGTAAGGACAGTGGAAACAATCCTTTATATCACGGAGCGAATAAGCATTTTAAAGTTACTGTTTCAGCTGAAATGACACAGTTGCTTTAGGGGGCCGTGAACATGAAACCTCCATGAGCCACCTCAACAGTTCAAAACAGGCTTTTATGTGTGGTTGCATTTCATACCACACATGAAATGCAACATGCATGTGGGTTTAAAAGCATGAGAACACAAGGAGGGAGACTGAGCGAGGCGGGCAGAGAAAGGATCAGGACGGCATTCAAGGGGATGGTGAAAACACACAAAAAAACCCTACAACAGCAACACAGGGTGTTATTTTCATCTCGGGCATTGCATTTAAGCCTTGCTCATCCGAATATAATAACATCAGACTGCCATAGGAAACAAGGGAAGAGGAATTGAGGGTGGGCGCAGAAGGCCAACGATGAGACGAGACAGTGGGGCATGAGGAGGTGGTGAATAGCATGAGAGACATGAGAGAGAGAGAGCAATAAGCAGTTGAGATAGAAGGGGCAGGATCCAGTAATTACCATGAATGAGCACTGTTTCATGTAGGAACTAATCTGAGCCCCTCTCTTAAATATCTGAGCTTCAAGTAAGACCTCCTTCAAGGTGTCGAGCCCTGTAGTTTATCCCACCGGCCCGCTCTCTCACATCTACACTCACGCTCCCGCTCTCCCTTTGGTATTTGGTGCTTTTCATCCGCGCCTTCTCTCTTCCCGTGTCTGCTGCGCTTTGCTTCATTCCCACCCTACATCCATCAGCCCGTCCCGATCGCTCACTCCGCCGTCTCCTGTTGCACGTGCTCCTCTGAGTGTTGCTCTGACTTTTGCTCCCTGCCCCCCCCTCCATTTCGAAGGTTTCTGCGTGATCACCTCCGTCTCTGCAGACCCTGTATTTCCTGCGTACCCTATAATCCGTTTCTCCACTCAGTGCCTGTCTTCATTACATTACATTACATGTCATTTAGCGGACGCTTTTATCCAAAGCGACGTACAATAAGTGCATTCAACCATAGGGTACAAACTCAGGAGAACAAGAAACAAGAAAGTGCAATTTCCTCAAATAAGCCAATTTACAATTTGCTATAGATGAGTGACGTTACAAGTACAATTTAAGTGCTACAATTTGTTAGTCTTTAGTCGAGATAGAGTCTGAAGAGGTGTGTCTTTAGTTTGCGGCGGAAGATGTGAAGGCTCTCTGCGGTCCTGATGTCTTCAGAGAACTCGTTCCACCATTTCGGCGCAAGGACAGTGAAGAGTCGAGATCTAGTCGAGTGTTTTGCTCTCAGTGAGGGAGGGACGAGTAGTTTTGCAGATGCAGAGCGGAGAGTGCGGGTTGGGATGTAGGGTTTCACCATGTCCTGGATGTAAGCTGGACCCGATCCATTCACAGCATGGTACGTGAGCACCAATGTTTTGAACTGGATGCGGGCGGCCACCGGTAGCCAGTGAAGAGAGCGGAGGAGTGGAGTAGTGTGGGAGAATTTCGGAAGGTTGAAGACCAGTCGAGCTGCTGCATTCTGAATGAGCTGCAGAGGTTGAATGGCGGTGGCAGGGAGACCAGCCAGGAGGGAGTTGCAGTAGTCCAGGCGGGAGATGACAAGAGCCTGAATCAGTACCTGCGCTGCCTTCTGAGTGAGAAGGGGACGTATTCTCCTGATGTTGTAGAGCGTGTATCTACAGGATCGCGTTGTTGCGGTGATGTTGGGAGTCAGGGAGAGTTGGCTGTCGAGTGTGACGCCGAGGTTCTTGGCGGTCAAAGTGGCCGTTAGTACGGAGTTTCCAAAGTTGACTGTCAGATCCTGGGTAAGCGAATCTTTTCCGGGAAAGAGAAGTAGTTCAGTCTTGTCGGGGGTTGATTTTCAGATGGTGGGGGGACATACACTGAGAGATGTCAGTTAGACAGGCAGAGATCCGAGCCGCCACCTGGGTGTCCGAGTGAGGGAAGGAGAGAATTAGTTGGGTGTCATCTTCATAGCTGTGGTAAGAGAAGCCATGCGAGCGAATGACAGCGCCAAGAGAGTTGATGTAAAGCGAGAACAGGAGGGGACCCCGCACGGAACCCTGAGGAACTCCAGTAGTAAGAGGACAAGGTTCCGACACAGATCCTCGCCAGGTTACCCGGTAGGTGCGGCCATCGAGGTAGGACGAAAGAAGGGAGAGAGCAGAGCCTGTGACACCAAGTTCCTGAAGGGAGGAAATAAGGATCTCGTGGTTGACCGTGTCCAATGCAGCAGAGAGGTGCAGAAGGATGAGGACAGAGGAGAGAGAGGCGGCTCTAGCAGTGTGGAGTTGCTCTGAGACAGCAAGGAGAGCAGTCTCTGTGGAGTGGCCTGCCTTGAAACCTGACTGGTGGGGGTCAAGGAGGTTGTTACAGTGGAGATAAGAGGAGAGTTGATTAAAGATAGCACGTTCATGGGTTTTGGACAAAAAGGGAAGAAGAGAGACCGGTCTGTAGTTGTTTTCTTCAAAAGGGTTGAGGGTAGGTTTCTTCAGGAGGGGGTTGACTCTTGCCTCCTTCAGAGAATTGGGAAAACAGCCAGATAACAGAGCGTTGTTGATGAGACAGGTGAGGAACGGAAGAAGGTCAGGTGCGATAGATTGTAGAAGATGTGATGGAATGGGGTCAAGAGGGCAGGTGGTCGGACGGGCAGAGGTTACTAGGGTAAGAATTTGGTTAGGAGAGAGGGCGATGAAAGAGGAAAGTGAGGGCGAAAGAGGTGAGGTCGGTGCGACGCGAGAAGTAGGAGGTGGGTTTGAGAAGGAGGAGCGTATGTCAGCTATTTTCTTGGTGAAGTGGTTGACAAAGTCTCCTGGAAGAAGGGTGGAGGGGGGAGGAGGGGTAGGGGGTTCGAGGAGATTGGAGAAGATCGAGAAGAGTTTTTTGGGGTTAGAAAATGAAGATTCAATTCTGGATTGGTAGAAAGAGCTTTTGGCAGCAGAGATAGAAGCAGAAAACGAGGAGAGGAGAAATTGAAATTTAAGCAGGTCGTCGGGTCGTTTATATTTACGCCATCTCCTTTCCGACGCTCGCATGGTGGCTCTCATGGCACGGACCGGTTGAGACAGCCACGGAGCCGGAGGGGATTTGCCAGTCCGTCGTGTCGTAAGAGAGCAGAGAGAGTCTAGAGAGGAGGAAAGAGTTGAGAGGAGAGTCTCTGCAGCAGCGTTCGGATGCAAGAGTGAGAAGGAATCAGTTGAAGGGAGAGCTGATAGAACAGAGGATGCCAGCGAGGAGGGAGAGATGAATATTGCGACGAACAGGTACAGAGTCAGTCAATGACGGAGTTTTGTTAGTTATAGAGAGTGGAAGGGAGTAAGAGATGAAGAAGTGATCAGACACATGAAGTGGGTGAGTGTGAGTGCACGCTCACAGTGTTGGCCGGAAAAAAGCATTTGCAGAAAATTACGCCGGCCCATTAGCGAGAGACACCTAATGTGTCACTCAAGAGCGTCCATCAGGTTGCTCACAATGGCTGCGTCCCATTTTGGTGCTTTTGTGGGGATCATGCCGCCTCTTTTCAATCTTTAATACTGAATTAGTTGCCGTCAGGTTATAATGAAGAAATCATGCGTGAAAATTTAAAGCTGCATTGAGCAATGAGACGGGAGGAAGCGCTCAGTCATCCAAAGCCCTTGCAATGTGTCACCCATTAAGCAGGAGGCTGAAAGAGGGGAATTTATGGAGCCGATTATTTGGATTAGATGCACCCGTGTCGATTTGTCACGTTTTTACATTTAAAGTTCAGCTTCTGTTATTACCTTCATTACATTAGTCTTCCTTCAATACTGGGAGGCAGACTAGAGTTGCAACGCTGTAGAGCGACTGTGCTGCTTATGCATGGCAGCATTGGACATGCCTTAAGGAAAGACAGTAGGGTATGTGGATGGAAATTTAATTGAGCTCTGGGCACATAACCATTCCTTGGAAGTAATTTTTCACAATTTGTCCAACATTCATCAAAGCTATCATAGGGAATTATATTCAGTGCACCACTTTTCTCTATACATGTTTAACTTAATGCGATTTAAAAATTCAAAAACAGCATTTTTCCCCTTTTGCGCAAACTACAAAAACAACAAAGGATTACATTTTACTTTTAGGTTTGTCTTCCTGAACGCTGAACCGATTAAGGGCTTCATTATTAAACTCAACACTTGGTAGTACGTCACAGCTATTGAGTACTTTAGCAGGGTGACTAATGAGGAGTCAATAGCAGTATTGGTGCAGCCTCAACAACGCTTGGTCTTTCATCAACACAATATTGTTGGAGACCTATAAAGG